GTAGAAAGGCAGCAGTGGTTATGGCATAGACGCCTAGGTCATCCTTCCCTAGGGTACCTTCAATTGTTATTTCCTGCTTTATTTTCCGAAGATAAACTTTCTTCCTGTGATACTTGCTTGTTATCTAAAAGTCATAGGAATACTTATAAACCTTCTTTTTCCAGAACAAAAAGGATTTTTTCTTTAGTTCATTCTGATGTATGGGGACCTGCACCTTATTCGGGATCTAATTCGGGGTTACGGTATTTTGTGTTATTCATTGATGACTGTTCCCGTATGTGTTGGGTATATTTTCTCAAATATAAGTCTGAAGTTGCCTCCAAATTAATCGAATTTTACAATATGATTCATACTCAGTACGGAGTGTCTATCCAGACGTTTAGGACAGATAATGGGGGGGAATATGTGAATGATACTCTAAAAATGTTTTTTTCTGACAAAGGTATTGTTCACCAAACTTCCTGTCCATACACTCCTGAACAAAATGGTGTTGTGGAACGAAAAAACCGCATCATTCTTAATATGACCCGGGCTCTTCTAATCGAGTCCCGAGTTCCGTTGTTTATATGGCCCGAAGCTGTAGCCACGTCAGTTTATCTTCTAAATCGACTTCCCACCAAAGCCTTAAAACTCCGTACCCCATTGTCTGAGCTAGCTTCTCACACTACAATTCCTGAGTCTTTCACTTTGCAACCACGTGTCTTTGGCTGTAGTGTCTTTGTTCACATTCCAAAAATACACCGTTCAAAGTTTGATCCGTGTTCCCTTAAGTGTGTGTTTGTTGGGTATGGGACTCACCAGAAGGGATACCGGTGTTATCACCCATCTTCTCGCCGTCTTTACACGACACTGGACTGCAAATTTGTTGAAACCGAGTTTTTCTATTCCACCCAACTCAGTGATCAGGGGGAGATTCAAACCATAGGAGATCCGCTGAGTTGTTTCTCGGTTCCGTCATACGAGCAACCTCGTCCAAGAGACGAAGATAGTCCACAACCTTCCCCGCTGGATATTCCTGACGAAAACCTCACTAAGGTAACTTCTACTTCTGATCTGCACACTAATAATGATGCTGTTGTG